AATAGATTATTATTATGATGTGCGTATATAATATATTATCAGGATAAATTACGGACCGAATTAATATTAATATTTTTAATATATAAACGATACACACAGAAACTTGGCTATTGGCAATAGGTATGCGTAAAACGATCTATTAAATAGTAGAATTAATAAAAAATATGAAAACGAATAATACCTAATAATGATATTAATTTATGCAACTTTATTGAACGCTGAATGGATGGCGTAATACATCATGCATTATTATGTTATTACGAAAAAACCGGATGGTATATACATAATTAAATTAAATTTTGAGTGATTTTTTTGTTTTTTTTTTTATTCAGTAATAAATATCATTACACTATATTATATTACCATATACATATTTATAGTATATATATATATTTATATTTATATTGATAAAAAATAAGCCCACACTATAATAATATGTTAATATTATGTAGAAAAAAAAATCCACAAACACAACTAATTTTTAATATGTACTCGTTGGTTTTCACTATTTATTAGTGTGTACAATAATAATTACTAACTTTATAACTCGTCTAAAACTATAAATAATTTTTTCATAATCATCACGCAGATAAAAATTATTGTATTATTTACAAAATAATTTACCGATGTGCGAAAGGTTGTTACGGTTAACTCCGCAAATCACATGTTGAATTATTATTATTATACACGTAAAAATCCAGATTGACAGGCGTTTCGATATTTATTTATACAAGGTGTTTCTTTTTTACACCAAATCTATTATCAAAAAAATATTGTTTTTGGAAATGTTTTTTTTGTTTTTTAAATCATTTTAAGAACATTTTCGGAAAATAACATATTTTTTTTAAAAATCGGTTCTAAAGATTTTAAATTAAAAGTTTTTAGATTTAAAAATCTAATTTCGAACGAAATGTTAATTAGTAATAACTTATAACTTAATAAGTATTTAATGACGTGACATTAACGGTTTAAACATTATTAACTAATGTTAGATGTGTTGCATGTTATTATATTAATGTGGTAGTTTATTTTTCTTTGGTATATATCCGATGTATAAACATATAATTTATTTTTATTTTACATATACCCTCGGAAACATAGGCCATTGGGCTTAAAGCGAAATAATTAATTGCACATTTGGGTAGTTACTAAACCTAAGCCGGTAGCTGTAATGATTGCTATAGATTGAAAGTGATTACTATTAGTATTTCTTCTAGTGATTCGGAGAGGTTGTGGCTTGTTCGGATATTGTGGTATGTTCGACATTCGGTGAAGATGTGGCTGATGGTGACTTGGACACCGCATGATGGGTACATTGGAGGTTCTTCTTTGGCTATTTGGAAGCTGTGAGATATTTGAGTGTGTCAAATTCTGAGTCCAGTTATTATTATTACCTTAAAATTTCTATGGATTTCGATAGGGAAGTACTAGGGTGAGTACTAGGTACCCTATCTTAATACGATTTAATTTTGTGTAGTAAGATGTCCACTTTTGGTATCATAATTTATTTTTTATAAGCGTTCGTATGCTACAGAATGGAATGATTTTGTGTACGATGATAATGGGGAGGTATTTGTAGTTTTGGCTACAAGTTCGACGAGTTCGTTTTCTTTTATGCCTGAGTGTCCGGGAATCCAGAAGATTTTAACTTTGAATTTATTGTAAACTGTGGTAGTGTAGCCTAAAAATGTTATTCTGAATAATATGTAGACCAATGTCTGATGGGTTGTATGTGTTTTTTATGTTATTGATAGCGCTGAGGTAGTCAGTGAAAATAATAGTGTCTTGTAGGTGGTGATCGGTTATTATCTTAAATGCTTTGGCCTTCGAGTATGGTAAATAACTCTACTGAGAAGACTGCAGAGCAGGAACTGGGGAGTTTGTACATGAATTTCGGTATACATAATTTAAATTTCATATTAAGTCATCAAATTTATTAACTATGTAGGTATTATACATTTCTAACAATATATAAATTAAAAAAAAAATATAAGATATTGTACAAAGAACCAAGTTTGTCGCCCCTGCTGTAGTGCTGTGTCACTATTCACTCTGCGCTCATCAGAACTAAATACTTATAAGTTATATAATTAATAATAACGACTGATTCAAAAATGTTTAGCTTTAAAGATTATTTGAATTTTAAGAAAAGTGTTGCATATCAGTATATTTAAATAAGGTACTGCAACTATTATTCAAAAAATTAAAACTTGATAATTTAATTTTTAAAAATATGGTTATTAATAAATGACTTAAAATTTTATTTAAAAACAATATTTCCAAATGTTGATACTTTTCAGAAAAAAAGTGTTTACATTCTATAAAGAATCACCTTGTATATTTATATTTATAATATATTATCACTAAAATTGTACATCTAAGTAAGTAATATATATCATATTAATTATAGTACGTTTCTCCTATATGAACGATGACGCCGTATTAAGCGCCTTAACATCTTATTATAATCATAATATTATACAACACACATAAAACACTAAAATTATTAGGTACAATATTACTTATTCATTTATTTTTATTTTTTTCAGACGGTTTTCGACGGAGCAATTTCTCGAGACGGATCACGGCGGTAAACGGATCGACCAATTGAAAAGAAACTACAAAAATCGGACGGATAATCTTGTGCACACAGACGCACTGCACGACGACGCGTACCGTCCGCACTAAACGTATTTCAACAATTATATTGTCGTACCCGCCCGAGATAATATTATTTTACAAACAGCTAATGAGTATTGCGCCGTCCTTACAGCGTCTGTACAATATAATATTATAATGTATATATTAATATTTTACGTCATTAAATTTATTCAATATTTTGATTAGACAATTGTCTATGTAGTAAAAAATAAAAAAAAGTCCGTGTTTTTTTGTGTTAAATATATAATATTTTTATAAATCCACACACGACACACTAATATTATGATAAACTAAACGAAAATATAATATTAATATTATTATTATGTGAATATATTTGAAGCATTGGCTGTTGATCCGAAACGTCCCTCACTTTTACGATGGTTTCTACGTATGTATATTGTTTTTTGATTTTTTAAGCGCCTTCTTGTGTCGGGTCGCGAACTAGGCCGTTTAGAAGGATATATCGCGAGTCGAATGAATATATATATATATATATATATACATCATTATAGAATGGTATCATCACTGATAATGTATCTATACACGTGACGAAAAAAAAACGTATCCATTATTGGTGCGTAGTAAAATATTACCGTCACACGCTCCTATACTCCGATATTCGCAATATGTTATAGTCACATTATCAATATACGAGCATATTATCGTCTGGGCGTTGGACAATCTCAAAGACGACAACGACGAAGAAGTAGTAATAATATAAATTAATATATTATTATTTGGCTCGGAGTCAAGAAAATGACTGAAACGACGAAACCCGTCAGTTTTATTATAGTTTGGAAAATAATAATAATAAAAATGGCCTAGTTGCGAACTCTGACTCGTTAGCCAGATGAATATGTATTACGAAAAACCACGAAAAAATAAGCGTATTATACTATGCATCTTAGTCATTTTGTTCAAATAACGTAAAAAGTGTYCAAACGACATTCGACCGCAGCCACGCTCAGTTCATTGCTATATTATATCATAATATTATTATCATTGTTTTATTTTATAATATAATGTAATATTATGAAATAACCATTTAAATATTTAAACTTAACGCAGGCACGCCTAATCCGCTATAGAATGTGCGAAGTATGTAAGTCATGACAAACAAAACTCAATGAAACGAAAAATATGTTAAAAAGCAACACGCGACGGGACGATGATATTATTATATCATCCTGTAGCGATAAAATGAGAAAGAATGAGATAATGACGGCATCAACAATAGTAATAATAATAATAATAATAACCAATAACAACGCGATTTTTTTTCTTTCAACTCTAAGTTCTGTCTTCTGTTTGTGTTCACTGTAACTGCATGGTGACCCACGTGACTAGTCTGGGATGCACCAGACCGCCGATCTCGCAGTTCACCGTCCTGGTCTCACCGTTGATCACGAACAGCGCTTCATCGGCTGGTGTAACCATGTAGTGACCGAAGATACCGGACGCGGCTATTGGACGGTTAGGGTTACCCCATTGCGTCAACGACTGAAGCATGGCCTTGCCCACGCCGGTGATCATTTCCACTTTACCTGCGAGCAGACAAAATCAAAAACAGACGTTAAACCGCTAGGATTGCATTTAGATTTTATTAAATTCGTATTATTATTATTATGTTAGATTCAGGCTCATCGTTATAGGATACAATCAAGTCATGCGTCGTCGCTATTTATGATGACGGACTATTTTAAAGAAGTCGAAGGAGAAAAATTGAATAAATATTAAATATTGGTAAAGAATGGCAGCATTAAAATGTTCGCATTTGGGCGGAAGATCCAACGATCTGGTTAAATTCGTGTAGTGATCGCGATATAAGTACTGAAGGACTATACATGCATATAAATAAACTCGGCTGAATGGGGCTTAAGACCTTGTCGCGATTTTCAAACCTTATATAATATTATGCAATGTTTTCTAATAGTAAAATACTTATATATTGAGTATGATTCACTGATTTTTACCTTTTTTGTTGGTTTTCATAAGAAGTTTTCTACCGATAATGTGCGCTTATACTAAAAAATAAATTGTCCTACTGAAATCTGATTATAAGGGCTGATTCTTATGTTGGAGAATGATGGCTCTCTATGCCACTATCCCTAAGTCGGCCTAAATATATAATATACGATATATATATAGTTAGGTTAGGTACACGTCATGACATGTATAAAATAAAAATGAATTTCTTATAAGACGTTTTATACATAAATACTATCTGAGCGTAATATAATACAAAACATAATTATATATTAAATTATACGTACTGATATAATATTTTTATTTCTCGTTTGGACAGCGGTCGACATAATGTATTTATAAAGATCGGGTTTTGCGAGTATAAAAAAAACGAGGTCCGATAGTTACATGGGTTATAGTTGACCATTGGGGTCGGTGTCATTAAACAAAAAAGCAGCGATAAATCATGAACTAAAACCGATTCTGAGCCGAGCTTGACTTACCGGCCAAATGGTTGAGATTTTATTAAAAGCTGGCGTTCGGTCAATAAACAGCCTCGACTATATTGCGTTACACACTGCAGTATTATAAGTATAAAATAGTTAGAACAAATTTATTTAATATATTTGTTGTTTCCCCCGAAAGTTATTGGCTATAAAATGTACGTACGATCATAATTGTTTAAAGCCTCGCAATACGTTCATAATGATCAAATTTTAGTAATCGATTTAAATGGATAATATAGGAACATATTTTATAACTATTAATTTGTAATAATTGACTTGATTTGAAACCATTTAATGGAAGACAATGATTAGGTCCTCGATCAATTCACTTAAATTAAAGTCGGTTAAGTTAAACGTACAATCAAACGTTTGTGTATTATGTGCCTCGTTAAATGTAAGCTCCGGGCCATATACTTTTGTKACCTAATACAATAATAATCGTATTTAAATATATGAAAATCCACAGTTCCGTTAATCAGTATAATGACATTTATTCGCAGTTCGGCGGACGTATGCGTGTTATATAGAATTAAAACAACTCGGATCATAAACAATGTATGTTTCCATAATCTGCCATAGAAATCAGTATTAGTTGTAGTACACTCCACATAATTATTTTATGATTTCGGTTGCCACAATTAATGCTGTTACTATGACTACTGCGTGCCGAGTAACATCACACTGATCAATTATTAATAATTTATTGTACACAGTAAAATACAATTTCAATACTCTTTAGGTGTTTGTTGCATCAAATTAARTTGGTGTGTTTTAATGTCGTTATAATAAATTGGATATTGATCGGTTACTCTATTTTAGAAGCCGTCCGCTACGTTAAATACAAAAAATAATAAGTGGAATGCTATAGTTACGTGAATGAATTGAATTATGCATATCACAAATCGTAACACTACGATGGGTAAAATATATCGAGAATACTATTTATAAATAGTTATCAATTAACAAGTAAAAATCATTTTTTGAATCTGAATTTTTCGTGAATTTTAATTGTCTCAGGTACATTGACGTTGTACGAAAAGTTTTCTCGTCATAGATTTTACGAATAGGAAAAGTAAAACTTTATCAATATTACATTATTTTAAAATCATTTTATATTTTTAAACAATTTAAACGCATTATATGTGTTTTAACTTTTTAAGATGACTAAAATGACATTATAATAATCTACCTACACTTAAAGTTTGAACTGAATAAATCACATTTAAATTAGTTTAACAACATGGATTTGGTCACAGTGTTAATTATTTCGAAACGCTTACCGTTAGATAGATTCAGAAACAGTATATCTTCTTTGTCAGCGGCGCTGGCGTATAAATCATACCCGTGTGTGGTTCGTGAAGGGTAGAACGCTATGTCACTAATCATTAGAGTGGTTTTGACGTCAAACGAAAATTTGAGGCCAGATTCTATATTGATTGATTAAATCAAATTAAAATTAACAATTCAGTACTATAATATGATATGTATACCGCGGGTATACATAGATAACACCCACCTAAAACTTGTTGGACGACCAAGGTAATACCGTCGGCGGCCTTGTCGATGGACACGACGACTCTGCTGTCCGGTGAAACCAAAGGACTTCCTCTGACCGAAGCCTTCTTGTTGACTACTGTGTCCGTCAAATAATCTAAGATCACCTGACCCGTTGCGTGTCCGGTTCCCGGTTCTTCGCACTCGATGATGACAAAACCGTCTGCATATAATAATGTGCACGTGTGTAAGTGAATATAATATAGTGAGTCGTCATTGGTAATGCGTAGTGATTTTGCGTTTTATCAGATTTTGATAAACGCGTTTCCGATTAGACAACACTAAAATATCGATAAATTATACTTTTTGAATGTATGTACTTACACAATGACGAAAATTGCAGGTTGCGGGGTACACAGTTGTACGGTGACAGATCTATACTTCTGATGTATCGCATGTTGGCCAAATCCAGTTTGTAAAGTCCTCTTTGGTTAGAGTGGCTCACGTAACCGTACTTGAACCAGTGGCTCAGGTCCTGTGAAATGTCGGGATAAAACGATAAAACCGTCCGTCTGCGTCGCGTATTAAACCGTAGGTTTATTAAAACGTTTCTCGTTCGTACCTGTGCCGTGGGCATGAACAAATTTCTAACCAAATCGAATTGACCGTCTATCGGTTCCGGGTGGACAGTGTGGTGTTTTCGCTTTTGCGACGCATCTCTAATCACCTGAATCGTCTTCACGCCGTCGTCGTACACGCTCCTCCAATTCAACACCCACACTTGATCTAGATGAGCTACGTAGTGCAAAGCCACTGGATATTTGTCCGTGATTACGACCTATGTGTTATAATAGCAAACTATTATCTCCCCGCTTATTCTATATTATATACCTTGGTAATAATAAGGGAGTATAATAGCTAGGTATAGATATATAAAAACATAATAATATAATACAAAATAAATTTATTAAAATATATGCAAATGATAATAATTAAAGCATTCGACTATAAGATAKGTAGCCAGATAGGTATTCGAAACGAATGTTTTATAATAAAAATAATTACGWCAACCGTTTTGAGCTCGTGACGGATTGAAATTCTCGATTGTACCATGCATATTTACATATAGAGTATATTTAGTTATAATAGTTTATATCGGTAAAGAAAATATTTAAATAGAGATAATCCAATGATCATAGTAGGTACTTACTATTTAGTTGATCATATTATAACCTATCGTTACATTTATTATTTTAATAACCCGATAATACAATTAAATAAATAAATAAAAACTATTTGATTTTGTATATTTGAACTTTGCGTAGGTATGTTTTTATTGTACTTGTTAAAATATCTGTTTTCTGTTGTACGTAAAGCACGTAGTACAGAATTTCATAAAAAATTTTTTCAAATCATCATATTCACGCGTATCTACCTTCACACAATATATTATACATAAATACAAATGAATAGCATTTCTTTTACATGGCTGTATCGGGTTGTAATAATATGGGTGCACTTACGTCGACGACGACCATCTGAATCTTGCTGATGACCAACACTCTGTCTTTGAGCGGCTGCGACACGTAAACGTAACGGTTGGCCACGTTGATAGCCTGACCCCAGCTGCAGTTGACACCTTTGTCGCCGCACACGTATTCCTATATTATATTACACACACACACACACCCACAATGACAACGAGTACGAAGATTATATCGAGATATGTATACAGAAGATTTATTACGTATGTGTAATGGCGATTGTGTGGTGGTGTTTCGACAAACACGRTCCGAAATTATGAGGGAATACTATAGCGGAAAACGTTTTGTAATACCAACGCTAACGTTTGAAACGTTTGTAGGGATGAAATTCATAAGCGCTTGGTGTTTAACCTAACCTCGGTTGTTTAACCGTGGTATAAGTCTTTAAAAATTAATCGTGATAGTATAGATGGCCTAAAATGTATAAACAAAGTCGACCACGGTTCTGGTTACTAACTAGGTATATGACCGAGTGACGTGATCAAACGTTTCAAACGTTTACCGCTATAGAAGTTCCTCTATACGACATCAATAACCGTACCTATCGTGAACATGCGAATAATATATACCTGAGTTCCTGGTATGATGTCCGTGGACTGAATTTGATGGTATAGCCGGCAAGCGGTGGGYTCGTAAACAGACACACCCCAGTCGTGAAAAGCGAAAAACCGGCGTTCTTCCTTCGGCGCAGCTGTAAAAACACGATTGGAATAACATTAGTATGATGTGTCATCGTGTTTAWRCMGATTTTTAAAGAGATATTAAGTATTTATAGGCATTTTAAGAAACATTTGTTATTTCGTTCGATTTACATCTGACCGCACCAAACTCACTAGGCGTCAAAATTTCTTGAACGATTAGTGACGATATGTCTCTGGTGACTCCACCGGTGTTCGATGCCTGGCACATGTACGCTCCGGTGTCCGCGTAATCGATATTATCAATGCTCAGTTCGGTTCCGTTGCCGACCACTCTGTACTTGTGCACCATGTCCAATTTTAAACGCTCTTCGTTTTTCAGCCAAACCACCTACATGGATGCAAAACTAGTCATTAAATCCAATATATAGTAAACCATGATTATGTGTTTAGAAATACAGAATGACCCAAAAGTCCCGTTTCATTCTATAGATATTTCCATAGAGAAAAAAAGAAAAATCAATATAATAAATYTCGTTTTTCAGCATCATAAATAAATATAATGTCGTATATTAATAGTAAATAATCGAAATCTAGTCTAAGGCAGTCTCTTTCATAGGTGGTGAGAGTTTTTTTGCAATATTCCGCAAAAAAAATAAATCTTCCAGGAGCTTTCAGTGTAGTTTAAAACGAGTCTATTTTTAAAGATTATGTACGAATAATTGACGATTTGAAGATTTTTCATTTTTTACCATGTAATACTGAACTAACTTGATCAATTTTAAAATACTTTTGACTAAACGCGTTTAAAAAAGGAATTTTGGATATTTAAAAAATTTAATTGCATAAAAAACTTTAGGTAGCTTACTATTACAGTTACTGAAAAAACTTAATTTAATTTTTAATAAATACGTTTGCCTGCACACGTAGAGATAATCATCTTTGATTTAAATCAAACTTTGGAGTTCTGTATTTATTAATTTAATATATACATAATATGTGTTGCGTGTAATGTGTATGTTATAAACATATTATGTGTACCTCAGGGAAAGGTTCTCCGATTACGTGACAAAACATGGAAGTCTTTTCGCTTGGTCTTCGTGATTGGATTCTGGGCGTGACTTTAACTTCGGGTAAAGCTTAAACACCACGAAATTCGAATTATAAAAGATGAAATTCGACAATAATGTTTATACATTATATAGGTATCGGTACATACTGTGGACAGTCAACACGTGCGTCTGAGTCACCTCCGAGTTTCTCAGAGCTCTGCACGTGTAATTCCCGGCGTGGACCAATTGTATTTTGGTGAGATACAGCGACCCGTCGCTGAAAACCCTCAAGTCTTCGTCGCCAAGGGTCGTTAGATCGGCGGAATATCGTTTCCAAACGATCGGAGGAGGTGGATTGCCACTAACGTCGCAGCGAATTTCCACGTTGTCGCCGACCTTTGCTGATATTCTATTTATCTCAAGCGCTTTCTCCAGAGTGACTACCGACAAGCCTATTAAAATAATTATAATAATGCTAGGTATAAAAAAAATACACACAAATAATAAATAATCGAAATCGAAAGAATCTAGTACGATAAACTTATATGTGTACGATATACGAGTGGGGCACCATTAGAGTGCTGAAGGACACTGCAGGATATAGATCAAAGTGATACATTTGTATATATATATTTATTATGTATGGCACGAATAGGATTTGGCACAGCTAGAGAAAATTAAATCCCCATATATGCCTTGACGTCTTATTTTAGAATTTACTTTGAACCATCTAAGATGGGTACAGTAGTAGTCACCTAACCTACACGTCATACTCACTGTATAGTTTACTGAAAGCTGCGTAGAATTCGTTCAAACCTAGACGTCCATCTTTATCCATGTCTTCAAAGCGAATCATGTCTGACATGACACAAACGTCAGATATATCATCGAGCTTATCCTGTTTAGTTATCTGAAACACGTTCAATTATATATATATTTTTTTTTATACTTAGAAATTTAATTTTTTTTTATTTACATAATTATTTTATCACACGTGCGGCATTTGTAAAAGCTTGGAAAAATAATTTATATTTTCGTCGCTTGGATATAAAAGTTTTTGTTCACAATAAAATGTAAATATAGAACTGTGTGCATGGTGTATTTTACGATTATAGCTGTTAACCATTTTAAATTAAAGTTATTGTTTGAACTTTAGCGCTCATTATGTAAATATTTTCGTTTAYTCAATTATTATAAAACAACACATACTACTTTTATAATATAGTTAACATTTTCAAAAAGAAATTAATGTAATAAAATAATAAGGATATAATATATAATATTATGTATTGCATATTATATTCAAAGTTTATTTATCAATGGTTAAAACAATCTTCCACGTATTATAAATTATAGTACAACATTAAGATATATATGTTATTAATTTATGCGAGAACTAATATATTTCTATTATTGGTTCAAAAAGAGGGTTATCATATTATCTCATAGGAAATCATATTCAAAATTTGTCGAGACATTTGTTATGGTTATCCATACGCTATACATATACGAAATAATCGACTTTCTTAATCTAAGCTCGAGCATATAATATTATATCATATGCACATAATATATTATATATGAATAAAAAATTCTATTAAATTGATATTTCTTTGATCAATAATATTAAAAATGTATTTGGTAGCACACAAGCACACTTAGAAAGACATTCTTAAAGAGAAATTTGAAATCCTTAACAACGTTAACGACAAAGTCGGTATGTTACATATTAGATTTGACCGGAATATAAGTTCATAATTAAAAGGCTTCTTTCATGCTATTATAAAAAGTCATATATAGGTATTAAAATAATAATTTAAAATGCAAGTTGAAAAACTTTTTCAGAGAACACTGTATAATATAATATTCACGCCGGTTTTACTTTAATAAAAAAGAATAAATTGTAATTTATAGCAATTTATAATAATTTGATGAATAACCTTGAAGCCAATAATTTTTATTTATGAAAAATTGCTTACAATGACATGGAGTTATCTAAGTATTGTTTTACCGAGTGAACAGAGTTTATAAGATTTAAAACAAATAATCAATTTATCAAAAACTGATGAGATAATGATATTATATACCTTTTGTAGTTCTTCGCGTTGCAAAAATCCGTCGCCGTCCAAATCCAAGTAACGGAACAACGCACTAACCATATATTCCTTGCCACCGTTCCAACTTTTTTGATACATGAGTTTGGCGTGATTTATCAGCAACAAATTATCCTAAAAAAGGTAATGTAACGAAATACACATAATGGGTATTATTTTCTTTATCCTCGTGGATGAATAAGTTGTAATTATTGTATGGTTTGTGGATTATCTATATGGCTGAGGAAAGGGAGGGGGGAGAAGAAAAAAAACAATAATATAACGAAAAACACCTTTATTACGATGGTGGGACGATGGCTGTTTTCATTCCAGTGGTATTCTCTCGTTATTATCATAAGACGCGTCTTATTATACACCATCCGACCCAAGTAGCTGTCTCTGTATATAGGCCACCCAGCAGAGGCTGAGCCAGCCGTATATAGGAGAAAAGAGCTTTTTGTAAACATAATTTATGTACGCGGCCAAAGAGGGATATACACGTTCCCAAAAGTACGATAAATCCTGACCGCGAGCATTAATTCCTGTGGTTGCACCCTCTTTTAATTGAACAAGAAACATTTATTACCATTTTATGCGTTTTGCGTCGAAAAACCACACCGACGGGCGTGAGTGGTAGAAAAAACATATATTATTACCGCGGGTATATCATCGAGGGCGGTCTCTTGGTGGGCCACCGTGCGATACCGTTTTGGGTTTGTATAATTCGCATACACGGCTRCAACGCTTAATTGTTAAGGCCGACGAGACTTATGCACGATAATATCGCGTGTGTTATATTTAGTATCATCGAAAGGATCGCGTCCGTGGGCGGGGGGGGGAGGGGTTGCGACTTAAATTGTATTTACGGTCCGCAAAATAACCTACACAACCTCAAACGTATTTGTCATTCGTAAAACACATAACAAAATATTTAACTACGCGGGCGGCACGTGCTCGACTTATTGAACTTCCATTATGAAATATAATATATAATACAGCTGTAGTATACATATATAACTTATTCATGATAAACGGCGGGGAGAGGGTGATTCTCAGCAGATGAAAACCATCAAACAAGCCACTCACYTTTAAAATAATAATAATWATTATTATTATTTCTATCTTTATTGTTTTATAGGGGTTGTGGGTTGGTAAATATATTTTATGATAATGGTTAAGTAAACACAAAGAAACCCAATAATCTGAGAGCTATGTATAGTGTGCGTACGATCGATTGGAATAACMATCAGAACGTGAATGTGATATTCTACGATATTTTGTATTATTATCATAATGTACATATTTGGCGCGGTTTGCCGATTAAGTTATGTAAATTTCTGAGGCGTACATTATTTTGCAAGTGAATCAGAGATATTATTTGCGGCTTGTAAAGTATCATGTCGTCAACGTTCACATAATATATTTTGAAAAAAAAAAAATCACCGCCCTCGTAAATGCGTGATAATTACTGTAGACTAATGTTTGAATATTTATAAACAATAACGTATGCCGCTTTTATATATACTGCAGAATCAAAAAAATTAACCAACAGCATTCCATTACAACGCCGCCGTTCATACAAAAATAATTATAATATCGTATACCTCCTATAATATTTACACATATTTAACGCGTATTTTATATTATGTTAATTGAGCATTTCTATTTACATATTAAATCGAAAATATTTTACACATTTTCTCATCGTTCCGAAAAGCATTAAAACACTAAAAAGACAGTATTATGGAACGAAATAATAATAATATGGAGTAAATGGATTTCTGTTCTACACTCTTACGAAATGGCGTCACGCCCGCATACTATATTATCTTGATGTTTCCATCTCGTTACAAACGCAACACATTATATAAGTTACATATTTACGTTCAATAGATCTCGTATCCTCTGATTATAGTTTCAACATATTTCAACAAGCCTTCACGTTATAGTGGTTCAGTTATTAAATTAAATGTTTGAGAAAATTGTATCTGTTGATTTTGTAATATATATATTTGAATCGAATATTTTGCTCAGATCCTTTTGACTTAACTTAATATTAAGTATCGAAAATACAGTCTACCAATTTATAGTAATATGATAATTCACAAAGAAGTTTTCTTCAATAAAACAGTTATTCAAAATATGGTTTTTATGAATTTTAAATATGATCATATTTTCGATTTTTTTTTTTACCATTTAAGGTCAAATTTAACATAATCAAATTTTCTGTGACAATATAAACTTGCATTTTTTTTTAATGAGAATCTTTTTTTGCTTTGAATTATTCAGTAGATCGATTTTTTGAAAATGTATCAAAAACAAAATTTGAATGAATAGTTTCAGAGTTATTTATAAGTACCTATGTGTAAGACACTAAAATTAAGGACATTAAAAATATAAAATAGATTTAATATATTTTAAAGTTTAAATAATGTTTAGGAAATATTTAAATTATTTATTCAACTCCACTTAAGTTACACATGTTATTGTACAAAATTAATGAAAAAATGAGCGGGGAGGAGTGGGGTATTCAAAATTAATAGTAAAAAAAGTGCAGCATTATTATATAMAATAATATGAGATATTACCAGTGATATCAATCATTATTTCAAAGTATTAATAATCCCAATGATAAAACGATATTTAATCTAGTTTTTATTATTTCAGATAATTTTTATAAATTGTTAAATGTCCATGTTAATAAATACTATTAATAAATCTAATTTACAAATCATCAACCATATTTCGTGAACATATTATTGTCAACACATTATCCTTAGCAACTACATAATAATTAATAACTCAGCTACTTCACAGCTATGAATTTTGATTTGGATATATATCAAGGTTCTCAAAAAGATAATCCACTTAATATCTATTTATACGAAAAGGGGTWCTAATAATATGAAAAAAACAGTAGTTCATATTCTCACAGGACTCGAAAAAAAGTATTCGAAGATATGATCTCTAAGTGCGTATAAAAATTCCATTAAAACCGAATAACTGTAATACAAATACGTGTTACAACCCTACCAACTTAAAAACCTACAAACACTGCACAAAAATAACTCCTACCGTACCACCCCACACCCAATGTTGCCGCGGGTTCCCCGTTAAAAAAAAAAWAATAATAATAATAATGATGATATTAATAACACATTGACTTTTGAGTGAAAAATAAATCATTATTCATAAATGTGACTAGTGTCATGGCATCAGCCGCGGGAAATTAACAATAAAGTGGTTTGCGTTAAAAAATATTCGYTGAAACGCTGATTGATATAAAAAGGGGATTCTCATAATAACACGAAAATTAGTAGTTTGTATCACCGTACAGGACACGAAAAAATATCAATCGTTCAAAGGTATAAATATTTAAGTTCGCAAAAGAATTCTATTAAAACCGAATGCATAACTGTAGCATTATTAAAGAACACAAAAAAAAAAGAAATGGATGTTTTTTTTTAACCGTCTTGTATATAATATGTTACGGGCAAAGTATACAATTTGGGCATTTTATACATTGTCCAAACATTTTATACAATGCCCTTCGTATATTGGGCAATATAGATAACGGATGAGATGATTTAATGAATAATGACATATATTTATATTATTAGAAAATATTATAAGTCTTTTTAATTTTATTATCACTTATTGTCGCATGTACTGCTTCCGTGACRTTTTGATGTACATATATTATAACTTACAATTCAGTAAATATAGTTATAATATATGATGTGAATTACACGCGTAAAATGTGTGCACAAGCGGACATCCCCATTATTGTAAAAATACGATAAGAACAAACAAACTAGTGACGGATAATAATTTGACAATATTTTAACTATGTTTTACGATTTATCATATTTCATTAAATCATCTCATCCGTTATCTATATTGACCAATATACGAAGCGCATTGCATAAAATGTCTGGACAATGTATAAAATKCCCAAATTGTATACTTTGCCTGTAACATATAATATACTACTGAAACTATACAAGGCGTTTCCTTGACTGCAGTATTATAACGCGGCAGCAATACACGATACCTAACGCGGATACTGTTCGCAGTAKGTCACAACCGAAACGTATAAAACAAGCAATCATTATTATTTCTTACACACGCAATAATAATAAAAACAATATTATATCGACTTCGGAGTGAAAAAGAAATCGTTATTCGTACACGGGATGGGCTAGCGGTGAGTCGTCGGCCATCGCTACAGAACATTAAAGCGGTTCGCGTACGAACAAACATACGTACGTCGTTTTCAGCGCAAGCCAAAAACCACGCCGTACTTATACATGTACACGACTGGAAAACGTTTGCCATGTATAATAATACTAATAATAATGATATGGCATGGGTGGGCTGCTGCAACGACGGCCGTTATCAATTTCGACGACAAATTTCGCCGTTTCGCGCGCGTGTTTATCATCATATCCGAGTTATATATACATAGCTATAGGGATGATAATAACATAATATAATATATCGTGCGCGGGAACGAACGGGACGTTTGCCAAAATAGCTGCACGACCACCGCACAATGACGCCACACACAGCCATCGGACGACACGATATTTTGCACGCGACACGAATATACGGCGACGGCCGAACCTCTTGTTCACTCCGACTTGGCATATAAATCAGTCCCCGTGTAAAATCATAATTTAATCGTATAATTATCGGAATACGTTACACGTGAGCCTCGAGCCCTGGCTGTGTCGTGCGTCAGTGGTTTTTTGAGGGGATGAGGAGGGGACGACACGTGTGCAACCACACCCTCTTGTCAACTTTCACACGAAAAAAATAAAAAAAAACGGTTCACATTACGTCATTGCATTACTCAGCTAGCACATGCATTCGATTTATAATTTTATTCATTACCATTCGCTGGACGTCAAAGTTTCGTTTTTCTATAGCATGATGTACCTACCTTATTTTAAATGGTTATTTTTTGTGATATAATAATAGTGTTGTTTTTATTGTTGTTATAATATTATTACGATATTACCTACGTGCTGAATATAATCTATTCTAACATATGTAATAAATTATTTAATMATCATAATAATGGACGAGCTTATTTACTTCAACGACACGTCATGACTACTGCAGCTGCTGTGCTACCAGTCGCCGAGCACTATTTGAGATCCGTGAATTCATCGTCGTCCACTATCAAACATTTTATTGTAGAGGGTGTCACACGTCATGTTGACACGTAATATTTCCGTACCATGTAATATCGACTTCGTKTATGGGTATATAGGTACCAGCTACACACCGACGTACCTAAACTGCCTATACGACGCGCCGGCCAACGGATATGCTTTTATTAGAAAAATACGTAATATTAATATTATCCGGGATAACGACTGTTATAGTTTCTCGCCATAGTCGAGTGTTTTACACTAAAAACCAGCGATGTATTTTCCGATCACTTAATTCATAATTGCGCTTGGAACTAAGGTTARTGTATTAAATGAGACTTATATATTCTAAATTTTAGTTTAGGATTCACTTCAAMCCGAAACCCTTAAAAGCCGTACACTACTCGTTTCGTATGAATACACATTTTAAATGAAATTGATACAATAAATTATTACAACAACAGTACCTTCATAATTTCGTATTGCGGGGAACCGCACGTTTTCGCTTCTTTCGATTTGGTTTCCGGTTCAATTGCGTTGTCTGCGGTTTTCGGTAGAATTCGAACATTCTTCACTTTGGACGCTGTACAGACATCACGAAACATCATTATTTTCAATCTTGATAAATAGTTTAATATGATATATAATATTTATATAATATTTATATACAGCAAACATTGTCTTATTATATGACCAACAACATTGTAAAAAAACTTCATATCTATATGGTATTAGATATAAAATATAGGGGACGATTTTTCTCKTAAATATATTATTATTATTTAAGATACGTTAATCGATTTACGGTTTGAATTATAGACGACTCGAAAACGTGTATAGTCTCACGAKTTKCTGTGTATGTGATCGGATTTACTACGATTTATTTGCTCATMATTTCCACTGGGTACGTTATTGATTTATCACGAACGACATAACGCAATTACACCACATCACACATACATAATACGTAAAACATGTATAAATATATGAAGTGATTTGTGTTAACGTTTTCTCACTGGCTAACCTAATTTTCTTAATTTTCAGGCAATTTTTATAATTTCAAGAAAAAATAACAAAATGCTCCAATCCATATAAACACGTATTTTTATTAAYTCACGGAGATTTAGRTGTTTAGTCATCAACAAAATATTCAATAATTATCCAGTAACAAGAGTTTGAGACGAATGAAACATTCTTAATTTATAATTGATAAATGTCAATAAATATACATAAATTATATAAATAAATTTGTTTATATARTAGACCAATATCTTCACATTATCTTATTGAATGAAAAATGAAAAATGAAAGACTATATATATATTTTATAAAATAATAACTTCTAGAAAAAGATCCGAACACGGTTAATTATGGATGGTGGTTAAACTTTGAAACTTTGAGTAATTAATAAATCGTAATTGCATTTACTATAGATTTTTCATAGCCAAATTCTATTTATTATAACATAAAAGTTAAAACAGTAATACATTTTAAAATGTATTTTTTTTTATTGTAATTCAGTAATTTTATTTAATTTAAATTGTTGGTTAGGTTATCCTACTCAATACTCTGTTATGTAGTCATTTTTAATAAAAAACGAATGTCGATAAAATACTGTTGAAGTTAAATCTAAACGTAATTTCGTAMTTGAGTAAAATTGATTAGAAATTTAAAAATTCAGCAAGTTGAGCTATCATAGAAAACATAAATGTTTAGATAACCTATAATAAAATGATAAATAACATAACTGAAAATAAAAAAAATTATAAACTCGAATTGTTTTAGCACTTTTATAACGCCTAAAAATGCTATGTGTTCAAAATACTATACTTAAAAGTTAAAACACACCAATCACATTAAATCACATACATTATCACAATACCTACTAAGTACCTACTAAAATCCAAACCCTGCAATGGAGATGTATATATTTTATTGATATTTGTCAATTTCTATAACATATTAATGGGCTTATACACAATCTTTATATAAATATTAATCATCAATCGGCCGTATATGACGTTTAGAGTTTTTTTTTTTTCCAAACACTGGATACAATGAGAATGCATTACATAAAGAATATTATATATAACGCAATATGGGGCACTTGTAAAGCTATTACCTATACTGCAAGTGTAAGGGTAAATAATAAATGGCCTCTTACGGACAGCACTGACTCACCTGAAGGTATGAAACACTTCAACGAATGGTCTATCTGTATGTCGACTCCGGACAAACAGCCGGACTTGTGCAGTTCACATCTATTGTCGTACAGACGTCCGTCCGTACCGCACACCCTGCGCTTGGCCGGACCGCATTTCCGCACGCATATGCACCGGGCCACGCCGCCCAAGGCTGCGCACTCTTCGCCCCTTCCGCAGTAGTGCACGAGACACGGGTCTGAAACATGAAATCGAAAAGTCGTTGTAGTGATAAAATATAGTACCCATACAGACACGTGTGCTATTGTACGCAAAGCAGTGTCTACGAGCAAAAATACGTCATGACGCGGTAACGAAATAGAAATATGTTTATTATACGCATCGACAATACGATGGCATAATATCCAAATCTTATCGACTGCAGTAGTATATTTTTATGGCAGTTTGCTTTCCGCATAATATGTTATGACGCGATATGACAGTGTACAAGACTACGCAAATTCGAACGAATGTTACATGACTTATTATATCATAACATTCATAACATATTATTATTATTATTAATTATCGTACATTATACTCAAGTTTRGATAGGTTCAAAAGCACATTGTGGGACCACTCTCYCCGTTTCGAGTATAAAAAAATTATATCGTAATTAGTATAATTTTTTTGCGCCTTTAACCATACTCGTGTTGTCGATAATATTCACAAAGTTTATCGTGATCATTTGCACGACAGTGGTGTTATTAATTATTAATTTATCATTTTTCGTGAAATAAACATTTTTTAAATCATGACTATCATTTTTGAAACTGAAAATTCGAAAATCAACACAGTAAAAATATATTTTGTGAAAAGGAATAATTAGCCTCCTAAATCTCGACTTATGCGTGTATATAAAGTTTAGATTGTTAGAGTAAAAACAAGTTTAATAACTGAATTATATTATATTTTATATTCACTGGTCAACGAAATTCAAAAATTGCTCTGTTTGTACATCCTAGGGCAAATTAGGTTGTACGTCCTAACAATCGTTGTTTTTTAATTAAAATTATGACAATGAGAGAGATTAAGATAATTTTCACACTAAAAAAAAAAATAAAAAAATAAAAAAATTGATGAMATTATATTTTTTTAACATTTAAAATAGTTTGAATTGGTTTGAATAAATCCGAATTAATTGAATTTGGCAATAAAACAATGAAAACTTATTAAAATTTAAGTAGCTTTAAAATTCTATTTATTTTTGAATTGATTATTCATCTTCATCGGTATCAATTTAAGTATTATTGTTCATAATCCACCAATATAATACGATAAATTTTTTACAGTGTCGATGCATTTAATTAAGATTTCAAAAACATTTTAAACAGATTTTCAAGTTTTATGTTCTCCGTATTATGCATAAAAATAAAACAATTTAAAAATCATTTAGCATTTGAATTGCAACATAATTAAATTCTTTCTTAATAGGTTATGAAAACAGACTACTTTTTATTCTTCATACTTTGTTTTTTTCGATTCTCGTTGTTTGGAATTAAATATTATGCGATCAACTTTTTAACAGTCTAATGACGTTATACGAAACTTAAAACAGATATCTGTTTTAGACAAATTTAATTTCAAAACTTTTAAAACAGTAGACACAGCTGGTTAGGTGAGGTCAAAACATTAAATAATTTCTTCYGTGAAAGTTCGAATCCGGTTTAGAAAAATTAAAATTAAAAAACATTATAAGAATTTCGCGATGAATTATTGTTGTAACAAAATAACAATATACCTCAACGTCATAATTCATAAATACCTTGTTATATCATTTAGTCGAATTCGGGTAACACGCGACATAATAATATATTATATACTATTACGTAGTGCAATGTACTTGTGTGCGTCTAAATTGTATGATTCCCTGATTCCCTATACGATATTAGCTATATACAGTTAATTAAAATATACACGACAACGTGACCGATGATTATTKCCACTGTTAAAAACCTGCTGAAAAYCGAGAGTTGCTATACAATTGTATTGCATATTAGCAACGAGCGTCTTTTGAATCGGAAAGCGTAAAATATTATATGCGCATAATGTAATAATGTACATATATATATGGTGAGAGAAATTACAAATACATTTATCAGATTAGTTTTTTTGGTCATGCACACCGAAAAACGTGACCTTTTCGCATTTCTCGGCGTATATAATATATTGTTTTGTTTATCATCTAACAATACAATGTATATACTATAAACGTATATTGTTCTCGCGAAACGCTCCATGTAGATATATATAGTACCCATATATATAAATTAGAAAGATGAAGAAATTTCGTTTTCAGATAATGGCACCGTTCGAAATTTGGTTACAACGTGTGCTCAACAACCCGACTTGGGCTGGCTCCGGGAATAACGTCGTTCAARTACAAAATATGTTTATTATATTATTATTGCGAAACTAAATTCCACGCGTCCTTTCGAAATGTGCAATTTAATTATCTCGATCCGGCGGTATACGGTCTAAAATCCCTAAGTAGATGACACGGCGCCAAGTAAGTATATGTAGGTACAAACTACCCATACATCATTGTGTAAGCCCCGCGTGGCAGCAACAAACACGTAATTTGACATAACGTCGCATGTGTGAAATTGTGCCCGCTCACTGACGTTAACCGAATGATCCAAAAAATTRTGTCAATATTCCACGAATTAATAAATTGCGGTTGTTAGATAAAGGGTAGTTAGTTTTTAGAATTTTCAAGTATGCTGCTAAAGTGCTAAATAATATATTATATGATGATGGTTAGAGAATGTTTAATATGATTTACATATTTAGTCCCTTCTAGTCGTGCACATTCCAAACAAATCTTTAAATCTTTATATGTTTTTATTTTTAGCAATTAAGGAATTTTTTATACACAAAAAACTGAAAGAATCAAAAGTTTAAAAAATGGAATTAAAAATTAATCAATTATTATTTATTATTAGTAATCGCCTATTTATCAACATTTATGATAATTCCTATACTTTAAATAAATTATGAATAATAGATGGGTAGGTAGGTATAATTACAACTTTTTAATACATTTTTTTWAATGTTATTTACACAATTAAATGTTTGTTTTTAGGGTATAGTTTGATATTATTGATCATAATATTTGTATGCTTTTTTTTTAGTTTTGATGAAACGACCTTAATTATAACAAAAATCCATTTTGGAGGGCCAACTACATGTATAATATTATAAACTTCACCACACACGTTGTGCCATTATCGCTGAGTCGTTTTATAAAAATCAAAATTATAATAAAACCACTGCCGTTATTAATATCGTTTTTTTTTCTAAACTACTCTATCGGAATAAAAAAAACGCAATGCTTTAAATCGAGATAATTTTCTATTAAACTGCAGGTTTTTTATTTGTGATATAAGTACATAACAACTATACTGCTGAATTGAAACGAATACGTTTTTATTCAGTTTTCATACCCTTAGGTATATTTTTAGGTCACATCGATTTATTTTCAACTAGCGCCTTGACCGATTTATAATCAAACTAAATTCTRTTCATTTATATAATATGTATATATGTATTCAACAGTATATGTGCCTATTAGAAGTGGCCGAATGAATCAAAGATACATTTAATGCGGTGAATACCAGCAGATTTATCGAATCACATTTGGATTGTTAAATTGGCAATAAATATCCATTAATAAAGACCTTAGGGCTATCTCCTCCTCTTAATCATCTCTAACATCAATAATGGTGAAAAGGATTTGAAAATGGGGTTTTATTTTTTTTTAAAAACGTTCCATCGGATGAATGAATATTATTGACCGTAATAATTTTTTTTGACCCGTATGTTGAATAGATGTTTTTGTATATCTTTGGAATGCACGAGTGTATATAAATAACAATAATACGCATTCAATAACTCATAATTATAATGATAAAAAAATAAAAATGAAACTAACGAAGGGTTATATTATTGTACAGTTATTATGCCTTGTGGGTATTATAATATAAATATTCATACAATGCGATACGAATAATTTGATGCGTAACACTAACTTTGTGGTGACAATATTATGTCAGAAACTTCCACCAACCGAGTGAAGACATTWTATTATTTTGAGTTTAAATGACGGGTTACGAGTCATTGTATTATATCATTGTCAATGGCAGTAAATTCTGTAAAAGACTTGCAGCGTAGTTAAACGTAATGATTATCGATGGTCCGCAAATTATGTATATTAATATGTTAATATCGTAACCATATATAATTTATTATACATATATATTGAGCTATCCAAGGCGTAACAAATATATCTAACAATAGTGACAAATATTATTAATTAATTTACGTATTTACTTTGGTTGTTATTAATACATTTATTTTTTAAATTTATCACCAATTTTAATCATAATAATAAAATTTAAAATATTGATTAGAATAAAAGTAATTACTTATTAAATCTGTCAGTCATATCTTTGTTACACTCTGTACCTATATAATTAATACGGGCATTGTCGCAAAAGTTATGATGGCATTATACAATTTGATCATTTAAATTTAATAAATACTAAAATACCGTATTCTCTACTCAATAAATGATTTTAAATCGTATTTGATGTGTATCATATAATAGTGTTTATTCCGTGTTGAAAAAATGTATAATTGTTTTCGATGTTGTATCGACTTTTTTTCTCTTCACATCGATTTAAGGATTTAAAAAAAAAATTGTCTAATAGTGCAGAATATGTTCTAACGAATATTTATTTTATAAGTGTACTACGCTTATAACGATATTACAAATCGAAATCGGCGRGGAAAAATACAAATAACAACCACATCGAAAACGATTTATCCCACAGCATTACTGYACTGAGAATATAAACGATTCCCGTTCGAGCATTCCCTCCCCCCAACTATCGGCACACGTTTTCACGGGATAACTCGCAGCCACATATGTACCAAAACGTTCTTCGTAAAATATTATACACAATATAAAATATTACATATATGTATAATACATATATAGGTACCTATATACCTATATATAATACGTACCTATACTGGCGCACGTGGAGCCGATACGAAGGAAACGATGCCGATAAATGTATTTATCCCATCATCGTCTCCTTCTTGCACCCCATCACCGATAAGGGGGGGGGGTGACGCGTGGCTTCAAAACATCATTTCGCTGTCCAACTCGTGGTTTTAACGAAATAGCGTACC